GACTTCTAGAATCGATTCGATTCCGATTCACAAGGTGAATTTTGACAGTCAGAAATATTATAATTCAGATCAGCACATTTACATATTTTTGTACCTATAAAAAGGAAGCTGACACACGCAAGACTTTATCAAAGGTGTGAGCGTCACAGCAGAGGCCTTTGTGTCAAAGTAGCTGAAGATAAAACAGAAAAACATGAAGCAGATTTTCCTGTTCTGGATTTTATAAAAATATTCTGCAGTCGATCAAAAACGAAAGAAAACAATTAATCAGCACATGAACATCACCTCTGAAGTTACAGCGGTTTTATTACAGACACAGCGTTTTGCATTTTGTATAATTTCAAAAAGTTTAAATTTGTTCAGTATTGAACGGCAGAAATTAGGTTTTTCTTTTCGGAAGTAAGTAAAAGGAAACAAACAGCGTCCGACAGCCTGTAAACAACGGCAGAGAATGTGCATGTAGTGTGATTTTATCCTGGTGGAAGCAAAACAGCAAAAGTCAGAGTGAATCCATGACGATGTTTGTGTGAAGCGTAGTTTGGATCTTCTTTTGCTGCTGGTTCGGTCAATGTTGTTTGGAGAGAGATCAAACTAACAGCTTCAGAATCAGCGCAAAAAGGGCGTGAACACAAAGCTCGACCCGCCGACAGAGTCGGCGAGCTGTCGGCTTTCAGCCCCGACCGTGTCCGTGCTGTCGGTGAGAAAGTCACAGCTCGCTGATCCTGATGCGTCGGCGGGTCGAGCTTTGTGTTTACGTCTCTGTGCAGAAGCCTGTTCCTGCTCTCAGTTACTGTTTTCATCTTTGGTGGTTGTTGAAACTGAGATTCTGGCATTTCGGGAAAAATTCATTTAAATTAAAAAATCGATTCAGGATTTTAATGAATCGATTTCACGTTATCCAAGCCAGAATCGATTTTAATCGATAAATCGATTAGAAAAACCCGCCCCTAGTCTTGACCTGTTATTACCATGTGATTGGCTGACTAGATATTTGTATTAGTATATTTGTACAGGTGTACCTAACCAAATGGGTGCTGTTGTCATAAACACTGTTGTCCTGATCTGCTGGGGACTGTAGAGTACAGTACTGTACAAAATGCTGGACAGATGCTGCAGCTGTGTCCCTTTTCATGGCTCCAAAGCAGTGATGTGTCACCACCTCTGCTCAGAGACACCGAGACACGGGGAGCCGTCGGACAAAGAATCGACAAAGGTGCCAGCGGTGGGGACGAAGGTTACCCCACCTCACTAAGTTTATCCAGAAGTTACTGAAAATAACTGGAAGAATAACAAAAACAAAGCCGATAGGGTTGAATATTTCCTGATTTGTTGTCTTTATACTGTTGGTTTTTCTTCAGCTGAATAAAACTTCTGTAAGCTTCAGGTGTGTCAAACGCAGAGCCTTTAATAAGAAGGCCGTGCTTCCATGAAATCTCACATCATTTATTCTCACTTGTTTGTCATCTATTAACTCATTTAACCAGGGACATTTTTGTATCTTATCTTCAGATCTTTTCTTGGCACTGACAACACTGTCAACAACGACTTGACACTTTTGCATGCCTGTAAACTGACTGTACATTACATTTCCCCGATGAGCTATTATTCTCTTACTGGCAGATGCAGTTTGTCGTCACAGGACAGGAGAACAAAGACATGGGGAAATAGCTGCAGAAGTGTTTCTAAAACTATGACTTATGAGTATTTAAAAATAACTCCATCCTCGCAGGACTGTCTCATGTTTTATTGCCATTAAATTTCATGTTGTGCAGTTTTTTGACACTCGCCCAGCTGTGAGAATGAAATCAGACCAATGTAAACTGAGCTACTTAATGACAAATATATGTTTGCAGGCAGTTCATCTCATGTAAACAATAACGTGGCGCACAGCGTGACGTGAAATAAGGCACATACCTTTGACGCTGCGTGACGAACTCTGTATTCCTCGTCCGCACGTAAATTCAAAAAAGGAGTTTTAAAAAAATCTCAGTTTTCGCTGATTCGCCGTTTACGTGGACGAAACAGCTGCGTTTTCAAAAATACCCGTGTAGGTGCGGACGTAGCGTAAAAGAGTTAGTAGTTTATCTGCAGGTTACTTGTATTTGCTTAATTGTTTACTAAATGTTTGAGATGTGAAATAAACCGCAATGGAGCAAAATATGGGCGTGTGTGGTTGGGGCATGTGTTTGTGCGTGCGTGCGCGTGCGTGCGTGCGCGTGCATGCGTGCGCGCGCATGGGGGAGGGGGGGCGCGAACATTTTTCTTGTAAAACAAAGGGGGGCCTAGCAAAAAAATTTTGGGAACCACTGATTTAACCAATGATCTACAGGATGGGTCCTTTCCACATCATATGTGGCTCTGATGATGAAACGCAGCCTATTCGCCTCCATTCCCCAGATTTCCATGTGAGTTTCCTCTTTTCAACACTCTCCCAATTCACCAGCGATGCTTCCAGTGCTACGGCTCTGGCATGTCTGGCTGTTTCCTTCTGTCCACGCACCTCCACCCCTACCATTTTTCGACCGTTGGGTACAGACACCTGTTGCCAGAGAGGTGTTACTGTTCCAAGACCAAATCCTCCTGTGCCCTGTTGGATGTGACCCACCACGTCAGGATGGTGAAGAGCAGATTTGGCCTGTAGCACAAATGTGGTTGGGGTCCATTCCCTCCTTGTTGCTAAGGTGGGAGCAGCGTCTATCACTATAGGGTCTCGGAGTCCATGAGTGACATCTCAAGCCTCACTTTTGCACATGTTAAGAATTTCCCTTCTCGACACACACTACGCCTTCCTGGAAAGCATCATGACCTTCTCCATCACCAGCTGGTTCCACTCCCTCAGCCTTCATACACGAACAGACTGCAGCTCTAAAATCATTGGCCTGTCAGAACTCTGGCTCAGGTTTTCAGCCAACAGGCCCTTAGACAGGCAGCCAAAATCATCAACGACCCCTCTCACATTCTTCACCTCACATTTTAATGGCTCCCCTCTGGGCGACGCCTCCGCTGCATTTCCTGCAGGACTGAGAGGAGGAGGATCGCCACCTTAGTCCCCAAAGCAGCTCTGCTTTTTAACTCCAGCAGATAAGAACATTTCCCCCACCAGAAACACAAACTTCTCTACACTCTTTTATACTACTGACACTTTATTTACTTTTACTTACTTAAAGTTATTTATTCATCTTTCAGTCACTTCAATTTTGAACTGTATAATTTTAAAACTGTACGTACTGCATATTCTGTGTATTCTGTTCTTATTGTTGTTATCTTCAACACTATGCTGCTCTGTTGTATGTTATTTGCCCTTTGGGGATAGACAAAGTCTTTCTGATTCTGATTAAACTCCTCTGCCAGGCTAGGGATAGGCAATGACAGCATCCCGTTGTTGTAGAGTCCAACGCTGCTGAGGCATTTGGGAAGTCAAAGCCACTTCCTCCCGTATATATAATATATAGTATAGTATATATAGTCGCTGCCTCCCCTTGTCCTTTATCAGTGGACAGGGGGAGGCAGTTGTCAGTACAACATCATGAGGGACACTTGATGACCTCCCCTCTTTGTTCAGTCCAGTTGGTGCAGTGAGTCCACATTTTACCCACTTATGAAGTGCTCACTTCAACCACTGATTTAATTTAAAGTAGTAACAGTTACCCTCTCATGCTACCTGCAGTGTCAAAGACACTAACAAAAACTAAAACCAGGGAAGTCTCAGTGAGAACAGTGAGAGGGCGGTAGTCTGCTGGACCACTGCCTCTTTGGGGTTGACTTGTTATTGCCTCTTTTTGTAACTCTCGTTTACATCAGAAGGGAAAGAAATACTTCTGACATGACAGATGTTTGTGATGTGCTCAGTGGAAACGTCAGTGTTTTGTGGTTCTACTGGTTCTGAAACACTTCCTGTTCATTTGTTCATTCAGCGAAACCTGATGTAGTTTGACCAGTTTTTTCCCGAGTGGACAGCCCCCACTGTGCCAGTCCCACTGTCATTGCAGATTAATGAATGATGGAGATGTATTGTTTTCGTTCACAGAGCAGATGTGTGGTGTATCTCTCCTTCATGATCTCTCTGTGAAGCTGCTTCTTTGAATAAAACTTCCTGTTTCACAGATTTACAGGAATGTAGTTCTGTCACAGTTCTGTGCTCGATGTTCGTGCTGATCTAACGAGTGAACAAACGCTCATCAGACTGAAGAACTGACTCGTTTTCATCTAGTTGAGGAAATAGTAAAACATCATCATGTAATTACACCACATTAAAGAGAAGCAGTTTTTATTTTGCGGAAAGTCATCATGAAAATGCGATAATGACGTTAATGTTTAAAAACTGTACAGTGATGAGCAAAAGTTTTGAGCCTCATTTCTTTCTGTTTTTCTAGTAAAATGTGAACCATGTGCAGCGATTTATTGATGGGTCAAACAGAGTTTGTACGACTCTAACGAGCTCGTTTGGTGTGAGCGCCTTTATTCTCAGCACAGTCTGAGCTTTCTCTACTTTCTTCTTCATCTTGAAGGACATTCAGGTCTCTTCTTTGGATGTTTCTTCTTTTTGTTCTGGTCTCTGTCAGGATGATCCCACACTGCTTCAGTGATGTTGAGCTTCTGGCTCTGGGGAGGCCCATCCATGCCTGATAGTGCTCTACTGTGTTGTTTCAATCCAGGTATGTTTCCACTGCACTGGCAGTGTGTTTGTGAAACCCTCCAGTTTAGATCATCACTCTTTCGCGCCTGTTGTCACAGATTCAAACATCTCTAAATGTTTCCAACAAAAAAACAAAACCACTTTTTAAATATCTCAATGATCGTCAGCAACAGGATTTATTTATGTAGTTTTTGGTCGAGTTAATGCATTTCACTTCAATACAAACGCTGCTGCTCAGCTCGCCCCTTCTTACACCTGTACACATCAGTCAATACTGTGAAACCTTTAAATAACTTTTATTTGACACAGCAGGGCAGACTTTTGTTTCCTGGTGTTAAATTAATGAGTAATCTGAGAAAAATGATTAAAAAGTTCCTGTTTAATCTGATGATTGTAATGTGAAGCAGGTCTGGTAACCTGCAGTGAGGTGTTGGGCGTGTCGTCAGACAGGTGTTTGAGAAAGGTGTGTTTTACTGCAAACCGAAAGGGAGAGAGAGGAAGGTTATTTAAGCCTCAGCAGGTCTGCAGGTATTTTACAGCGATGGCTTTCTACAAAGTGATGTGTTTGGCTGCTGGGCTGATGCTCCTGACCCAAGGTAAGAGCTCTCTGCACACACCTGCAGCAGGTACGACTCAGAGGGTGAAAACACTCAGGAGCACAGCGCTTCACTTTAAAGTGACACTGCAGGAAAATAACCTTTACATTAAAGAAATCGTTTCTTTAATACGAATTTGATGTGTTCAGTTAAAATTCACAATGTTCAGTAAACATAACTTTAATATATATTTTGAAGAAGAAGTTTTTACGACAGACCAACAACACAGGACGTAGTGTTTGGAACCTCAAAATTTCTTATCTCACATTTTTTCAAATGGGTTACATTAACTGTAACTTCACACAGTAATTACAGACAGTGAACTAATCACAGAACGATGAATGAAGATTTTTAGTTTTAAAATGGTTTGTTTCTGTGTTTCAGAGTCTGAGTCACAGCTGGGTGGTAAGAAAAAGCTTCTTTGTGTAATGATTTAGTTTTATGTGTAATAAATCTTTAGTTTCATATGAATATTAGTTTGTGAGTGAACTGTAGACTCCAGGATCACTGTGTCCTCACTCAGCAGTTTGTAGTGCTGAGAGTTTACAGCTCCTACAGCAATGCTCACTCTGTGTTTTAATGTCGGTCTTCAGTTTGTGGTCAGCCAAAGCTCAACACCAGGATTGTAGGAGGACAGGCGGCCCGCGCTGGCAGCTGGCCCTGGCAGGTCAGTCTGCAAAGATCTGGGTCCCACTTCTGTGGAGGATCCCTCATTAACAGTCAGTGGGTGCTGACTGCTGCTCACTGCTTTCAAACGTGAGTAATGAGGCTGAAGCTGCACTCTAAACATGATTTAAAGACGCTGTGAAAGGTGCTAATCTGGGGGCTCAGGGGGGGTAACAGGATAAATATTTAACAGGGTGGGAAGTCAAACTTTATATATGTTTTCTCGTCTATAACAATTGTAACAACTGTGCACTGTTCGTGTCGCTCCTGATGATCTCAGCAGTACTCCAACCGGTCTGACTGTGAATCTGGGCCTTCAGAGTCTACAGGGATCTAATCCCAATGCAGTGTCTCGAACTGTAACAAAGATCATCAAACATCCAAAATACAACTCTCAAACTTTCAACAATGACATCTGCCTCCTGAGGCTCTCCTCACCGGTGACTTTCAACAACTACATTTCTCCCGTCTGCCTGGCAGCTTCAAACAGCATCTTCTACAGCGGTGTTAACAGCTGGGTCACCGGCTGGGGAAGTACTAGAGAAGGAGGTGGGTCATAAAGACACCTGATCGTTTTTAGAGAAATGATGACAATAATACAGGGAACAAGTTTGCTATCTCAGAAATATTTAGAGCAATAAGATGTTTCCATGAGGTTAAATCTGTGCAGAGTTCAAAACCAGAAAGAATAATTATGTGAATTAAACAGTCTGGAAGTGCTGGACCTGCAGCAAACATGCTGTCTGCACGATGATGTCAGGTCAAAATGATCCTTGGTTAAAAGAAAGTATATTTTCTGTGTATCTGACACTGCCCCCAGGTGGTGTTAGACAGTTACTACATGATGACGACCATCTACTGTCTGTGTGTCAAGTTTATTTCTGTATCACGTTTAAAAACAGCAGCTGTTGTGCTTCATCTAAAATACTCAAATAACATAAAACAGGACAAGATGACAGAGCGGCATCAAAGTCATGTGACTGTGTTCTGCAGAGAGCTCCAACCCCAGCGGACAAACATGTTTCCCCATCTTTGTTTGCACACATGACTACACTTTGTTTTTAAGTTTGGTGGAGCCGCCCTTTTGTTTGAAGGTTAATCAGTCACATGTTATTTATTACAAACTGATATATTTATTTTACCCCTTCAGCAGGCACTCTTTCACAAAACCTGATGGAGGTGGAGGTTCCTGTTGTGGGAAACAGGAAGTGTAACTGTAACTATGGAGTGGGATCAATCACTGACAACATGATCTGTGCCGGGTTAAGTGCAGGAGGAAAGGACTCCTGTCAGGTGATTGTTGTTACCTGTGTTTGGCACATTTTCACCTTCTACAGTTTCTTCTCCTCAGCTAACAGTAAATGTTTCTGCTCTCAAAGGGGGATTCAGGAGGTCCAATGGTGATCAAGCAGAGCGGTCGCTGGATTCAGGCGGGAGTCGTCAGTTTTGGAATAGGTTGCGCCAGGCCGAATCTTCCAGGAGTCTACGCCAGAGTATCCCAGTACCAGACCTGGATCAGGACCCAGATCTCCTCCAACCAGCCGGGCTTCATGACGTTCACGTCCACTGGGACCAACAGTGACCTCAGTGTCACCTGCTGAGGACTGCCACCCAGTGGCGGTCCTAGCCTGCTTGGTGCCCCAGGCTAACCCCCCCACACGCACACACAAAACGTGTCAGGTTTTGTATTGTTGATTATCATTTGTGCTTAGAAATATCTACTTATATATTCTTAGAGTTTTATAATTAGTTGTAGATTGGTAGAGGTTTGATCCTTAATAGTCTGCAAACTTTGTGTGCATTCCAGAGCACTCTGGGAGCGTGGGAGAGCTCGTACCTTCTCTTATTGTTTTATGGATAAACGTATCTATGTCTGTTTTAGGTTAAGTGCCTTTTGTTCAGATGACCTGCTGGACTTCCAGACCAGCAGGTTTAGGGAAGTCGTTCATGGGGTCACACACACACACACACACACACACACACACACACACACACACACACACACACACACACACACACACACACACACACACACACACAGGCAAGGTACTCTTTGTTTGTATGTAGACGTCATATGTTAATGACCCTATGTATATTCATGTAACCTCAATAAAAGAGCAGTGTTACGGGGGAGCGGACGAGAGCGACTGGGGTCAAGCGAAGGAACGGCGCCTGTCCGGTTCTCTCCCGTGCACGAGAAACATGAAGAACTTTGCCTACTCGTGTCTTGCTTTGCTGTGTAATTACATTGTCTTCAACGTTCCAGCGAATAGGTTTAAGCTACTAACCTATCAAAACGTATTAAGGATTGTACATTAACATAAAACTGTTGTCGAAGAGGGAGAGAGAGTATGCATAGTATGCAAACAGCCATCATAATTCGTCATACAATGAGAACAGGACAAATCAACAATTGACACTGACTAATTAATATTAAAATCTGTAACATAATGTATTGTTTGGAGTTTAGTCTGTTACTGTTACTATTTTTACCATTTGTTGGAGCAACTGGAACTGTCGCGGTTCGAATTTTTGAGGAAGAGACATACGACTGAAAGTCCATAGTGGGTCAACACAAATGATTTTATTAAAACACATATATGTGGTGAAGAAGCAACACATCTCTACTTATTTTGTTTTGAACTCTACTGACTTCAAACCCCAAAAATGAAATTTGACACAAAAACCTTCTTCACTCCAAATCATGTTTTCTTTTTGTGTCCAGCCGGGGAAGAAGGTCACCTCTACTATCACTGCTTCCCCAGTCGGAGACAATTTCTCACTCACACTTACACACTTTTATTTTCTTTGCTCTCATCACTTTCTTTCTCTCTCTCTCTTTTTTTTACACGCATATATTAGCCTGTTATTCACTCTTCCAACCTCATTTTCCTTTCACCCCAACAGCTCTCATGCAGTCAGCAATCAAATCCTCCATTCATCCCTGAGTACCTGATCACCTTAAATGTCACCGTTAAGTTTATTTATTTATCATTACCTGAATACTAAACCACTGTTTTAGTTTTATTTATTTATTTTCAGTTCACTATCACCTCTTTGATCACTAGGATTTCTAACCATTATAATTTCACAGAAAATCAACGGACCTACTTCTCCTTCCTCTTTTGTCATGCAGGAACTCACACAGCCTGAGCACTCAGCCCCCACCTTTTCTTTCTCTCACAGACACAGAGCTCTCATGCACTTCACAAATTCTCAAACTGCGCCACGGACTCAATACTGCAGTTTCTCTGCTTTTTAAAAATATAAAACCAAACACAACCCCCCAACTGACTTCACTATTTACAACAACTCGCGACACGGCCTTCTGCCGCGATTTCTACACACCACAAACACACTTTTATTCAATCCTCACACACTCAGCTTCTGTATTAAATTATTTTCACAGCACACGCAGTTATAACCAATATTAGCAATTTACACAGGCGATTCACACTTTATTTATATACTCAGGCCTGTAACAACATGACAAAAGACACCAGATGCCAAGACAAGTTATTCAACAGTTCCTTATCACTTCAACATTTAAACACATAACATCTTAACATAAACACCCCAAAGTGACCACGGACACAAACCAGAAGCTCTACTGAGTGAACATTTAATTAACTTAATTTCCAATTCAGCACCTTTGGACATCAATCAACAGGTGGTGCTTACCTCCTATTTCGGGCCCATCACTCAGTCGACCTCCTGGCTGTCTGTCTGTTTGACACCACTACACCTCAGCCAAACCCCATTAGTCCCTCCTCAAACCGGTTTCGGCACCAGAACTGTCGCGGTTCGAATTTTTGAGGAAGAGACATATGACTGAAAGTGCATAGTGGGTCAACACAAATGATTTTATTAAAACACATATATGTGGTGAAGATGGGCTCTGCAAAACATCAGGCTCCATCTCCCGCCTGACAGTAGGTGGGTGTGATATTTATACTTATGATGACCAGTAACTCCAGCAAGGACATATTCTAAAAAGGAACCGCTACTTCCTCTGTTCCTCCAGATGCTTCCTGTTATTACACTTTTCCAGACTTAGACAACATTTGCAATCAGTTTACCCAGACAGGCTATGTGTCTGTGTTGTTAACCTCAGTACATGACCCCCCTCTACGTCATCTGTTACCAGGCAAACTTCAATGCAGGAGGCTGCTGAATGCACACAGGCAATATGTAGCAAATTATACTGTAAACATGTAGGCAACCTTTCAATAGCTGAACTTTGCTCCATTGATCGGCCAGACATCGCGCTGCCTGTAGCTTCAAACCATTAATTATGCAATATGTGTATAACATGATTACAGTTGCACCTGCAATGAAAGATTATTATATGCTTATGCTAACACCTGAAATACAGAATTTAATATAACCTCACCAGTTTCAATAAATGTGTCAATGACATGACAATAATGATAAATCATAAATGATGCAACAGTAATAATAAGGATCATGAATAGTAACATAGATTATGAATGTAAAATAATATTTCATCTCGACATAACCCACATAATTTCCTCAGGGATTAATAAAGTATTCTGATTCTTATTGTTTCAGGATGACCTGCCATTATCCAATCACACATCTGCTTACCTGCATCTGTTGCTCGTTTCTCCTCCTTTTCTTTTCTCATTTTTTTTTTTTTTTGTTTGTGTCCCGTTTGGATCTTTAGCCGTCAGAATTGTTGTCTTAAGGCCAAGAAAGATGCCAAGTGGATTTATTTTACCAAGTGGATCATCATGGCCTTGCCATATTGGTCCATTTGATTGACCTTTATTATAATTATGAATTTATTTTATTTTCAGTTGCTACAAATGGGACAGACATGACTGTGGGATAGGACAGGGAGAAAGAATGAAAGAAAGAGAGGGAGAGAAAACCAAAGGGGAGAAGAGACGGTGAGAAGGGGGGGAAGAAAGAAAAAAGAAAACAAAAAACAAACAAACACCTGGGTCACCTGTATGGAGAAAAAAAACAGAAGAGAAAGCAAACAACAAAGAGCAACATAATAAAAAAAACAGCACCATCACAATAAACTAGCTAGCAGTAGATATCAGTAGATACTAAATAATAAACGATATTGTGCAGCACGCAAGATAGACAGCGCACAGTGTGCTTTGAGGCAGCAGCCAAGAAAGCTTTAGTCCGCGTCTGTGAACACCCGTGTGTACACTTGTGTGCATACCTGTGTTGATCAGCGTGCTTGTATTCCAAAGGTTTCTCCATGTAACGATCTGCTAGGGAGTGTGGGGGGGCCACAGCCCCGTCCTCCAGGGCATGAAGCAGGTATGGAGGAGATCAAAACTCCAGACATCCAGAGGCCCCCAGAACACAAGAAACCAAGGAAGACCAACAGAGGGGCAGCCGCGCCACTGTTCCAGTAAGAGCTGAGGAGAGTCCCAGATGAGGGGTCACTCAGCAGCCGCGGAGCAGAAGCCAGGGGGAGTTGCAGTGACGCGCCCGTGAGCTCCGCCGGCAGCCAGCCGTGCCTGAGTGACCGAGCCCCAGGCCGAGAGGCCGGGGGCACCCCACCCCCGAAGGGCCCGAGCGAGCCCCAGGCTCCAGGCCCCGATAAGCGGCCGCCAAGGAGTGAGCCGGTGTGTACCTGGACGCCCACCCCCAGACACAAAGAACCACCAACGCACCGACACCTGAGGGAGTCCGCCACTGGCAGGGAAGTGGTGGTAGGTGGAGATAGGCCTCCAAACCTTGGAGGGCCTGAGGTGTCCCCAGAGAGGTGGTGTCTGATACCCAACCTGACATATAGACACAGACATACAGGCACACACAGACACAAACATCCATTCCCACCCTCATGCTCTCATATGCACTTACTCCACACTCAACCAACGTGGAGACAGACATAAAGAGACGTTGTACACACGATCACACTCCCCAAGCGTACTCTACAAACCGGGTCTAGGTACCCTTGCCCCTGGAGGGGGAACTGCACCCAGACCCAGGTGGTGTTACCCTTTTCCCTGCGGTGGGGGGAGGCAGACCGCCCCGACTCCGCAGCAGCAGGAAGGCTCCACACTCCAGACCGCAGTCGGACGGCCAACTCCTCCTCCTAGCCCCCCGCTCCAGCAGGTCGCAGAGAACGGGGGTGAGAGAAGACTCCAAACCTCCCTCCACCCGCTCATTGTAGTGTTGATGCATGTGTGTTCTAAGGTGCATTTAAAACCCAGGAGGGCATGGAGCTACCTGCCAGAGAGCAGCAGGTAAGCGCATGGTCCCTCCTGCTGGCCCTCAATGTCTACGTGTATTTAACATTGAGAGGTGGGCAACGACGCCAGGGGTGAGGTGTACACCCTGATGGTACTTTGGATTCCGTGTATCGTGCCCACCCCCAAGATCCTATATGTATGTGTAATGAGAGTGTGAGTAATGTGAATGTCTAAGTTGTGGGATAAAATTGAGGCAGAGGCAGCCAGAAGGGGACGGTGGGGGGAGGGGTGGGGGGGGGTAGCCTCCTCTGCACCCTGGTGACATACCCCTACTCCAAGGCCCTGCATGTGTGGGTGGTTGTGGTGGGGCGGGAAGAGGGAGGCAGCTGGAGATGGGGAGGGAAGGAAGGGAGGAGCAAGTGACCCCTCCCTGGGGCCAGCTCCCCCGCTGACCCCTTGTTGTGGATTGACATTCACAATGTAGCCACAGCCTAAATTTCCCCTCGAGATTAATAAAGTATTCTGATTCTGATTCTAAAGCAGACTAG